TACTATTAAATGTTTTTTTTGTCTCTTGTTGTTGTTGTTGTTCTTGCTGTTGTTCTTCTTGTTATTTCTTGTTATTTGGGAGCAGGGGTGAAAAAAGCGGCGAGGAAATATAGTGAAATGTGAAAAATTTCACATTCAAAACACATATTCTTCTTCTTCGTCTTCTTCTTCTTGTTCCTGTTCTTTTTCTTCTTTTTCAAATAGTTCACTCTCAAATTCATATTTTTCTCTTTTTTTTTATTGATATTTTCATGTTTCCAATGATGTTACCACCAAATTATGAAATACACCACCATTCGTTTCACTCATCATGGCCGCTTGACCGCAGGTATCACTGCCGACACTAGGAGTAGGACTGGGCGAACCCAAACGTAATGCATCCATAATGACTTCAAACTCTTTTTGATTTTGATTCATATCAAAATCTAATTCCAAATCATTTGAACCGTTCGGCATTTTCGGACACTTGGGTGATATGCTACCCATATTTACAATATCCAAGGGACAATCTTCAATTGCCGATATGAGACGCTGTGGCGGTATATAGAATTGAGAGAGAGCCTCACGTACTAAACGATCACTCTCATCTTCGCTACGTTGACGTTTACGTGAAGATATAGCTTTCTCTAGCTGTTCGGCACCTTGTGTTATCTCCGGATCAATTAAAGGCATCGGTGAATTAATTGCGCTCAATTCACGATCTAATATCTCTAAATCGTTATCGATATTACTTGAGCACAGTTGTCGTTTACGTATCGAGCTTGTTGCGTTTGTTGTTATTGTTGTTGATATTGTTGTTCCTGTTGTTGTTGATGTTATTGTTGTCGCTGTTAACGTATTCGCTAAAGAGGCAGATGTAGATGAATGGCTATCGCAGGAGGAATTCTCATTAATTATTATATTCATATTACAATGATTTGATTGTAAAACATTGCTGTCACTGCAGTGGTCGATCGATTTCATGCTATTGATAGAATTTTGATGCGCTAGATGTTCACCGTGCGCCATCGATTTATTCGCCGTCAACTGATGATGATTATTATTATCAATGCCACAGCTATTATAAGGATTAAAGATATTATCACGAGCCGTTTCCGGTTTCGATTCGGATCTGCAATTGAAAAGAACGAAAGAAAGAAAGAAAAAATATGTGTAAGTTTTTCTTACTTAAAAAAGATATAAAAGGTAAAGAAAAAGATATTTTTTTTTTTGGAAATTCATTTCAATTCATTTGAAAATTTTTTTAAAATTATTTCAAAGACAAAATCCCGTTTTTAAAATCGTTTAAAGAATTACAAGGGAATATTCCATATAGTCTATAAATTATTAATTTATTTATTTATTTATATATATATATGTATTTTTTTTAATAATCTCATCTGTTAACAGTTAAGTGAAGATCAGCTATAGTAAAGATGATCTCAATCTTAGCGATGAAAGTGGAACGTAATGTTTTTCAAAAAGATAGAGAAGAAACTTAATGATTCCTTTATGTTCTGGTATAGCTCTGGTATAATTTCATATTGAAAACGATTTGATTTAAGATGAAAGCATTTAATTAAGTAAACTCTTAATAAATACTGTTTTATTTATTAAATTAAATGGAATGTAATAAAAACCATTTAAAGCAAATGTCATTATGATGATGTCAATAACAAAAGGATAAGGATGAACATAATGAACTCAACTATCTCAGCCTTATTTCTATTCTTCTTTTGTGTACGGCTACTACCTATTTAGATAATAGTTACAAAACTTGATATTAATCAACTGCGCACATATGCATACACCTATATATATATATATATATATATGTACATACATATTCACCTAATGGTGATGGTAAGGCACATGAGCTTTATACAAAAAAAAAAAAAAAATATATATATATATATATACACTTTGCAGCTCATTTCTATACTAAATACTAACGGATAGATTAATTTTGTTATTGCGTTGATAACTTGAAGATATTATTATTGTTATTATTTGTCTTTTTAAATTGATTCAGTTTTTACCTAAGAACATAGAACGAATATTAACAAAAATACATTTTAGAAAATATATCGATATAGAGGATTGACGAAAGCTTATCCGATTCATATAGACATTGTGAGGAACGAAAGTCGTCTCTCGTTTTCCCTTCACAGGCTCTTCGTCTCTGATGGCAAGATGCTAGAATAAGTTAGGCTAAGAGAGTTAGAATGGCAGTAAAAAGAAATTAGACTAATTAGCTTAAGCAGAGTTCAGTAGGTCCGACTACTAAAGTAAGTAACTCAAGAGACTTGGAGTAAGGACAATTTAGAAGAATCTGAGGATAATTAATTTTAAGCTGAAGTAGCGAAGTTTTTTAGTCTACGAGGACAAGAAGTTAAGGACGGGTCGATCGCGCAGTGCGCGAGAGTGTCAACTTGCGGTTAGAAAGAAATTGATCTTTGATATAAAATTGAAAATTGAATATGTAAATGTAATACACTGTTTGAAGAAATAAAAATCTTATATGAATTTAAATCGAGAAGAGCCAAGTCTTTAAAAAAGGAAAAGCAAACCCAAACGAAATAGTGAAATGTTTTGTGTTAACAGGTTAATGAGCAAAAAATAGCCCCCACACAATATTTAAGTATTATTATTAATATTATTTTAATTAATTTTGGGCCAGAAAAATAAATTCCAAATCTAAAGTCTTAAAGCATTAGCCATCTATGGCTACTGGCTTTATTGAATGGCTGACCCCATTTTGAGACTTGAATCCACGGCCATTGAGTTGTTAGTCGTAATCACTTGCCTATTCGATTACGCCGCCAGGATATATTTCAGCAATTAATCATAAATGCATAAATTTTATTATTAAAGAGTTAAGAGAAAGCGAGAGAAAGAGAAAGAGATAACAACAAAAATAATTTGAAATCTTTAAAAAGAAAATTTTATGTTCTGCGCTAAATAATTGTGGAATGGAGATAAAAATAAAACTAGGAAAAGGAATTTTCAATAAAAACGCTGGGTGCCACGAAAATTCGTATAAAACTTATCTCCCATAATTTCCTTTCCTTCTCTATCCATATAGTGTTTTTGTGGTAATGGGTGAGAGGGTGATTTATGTTTGTCAGCAACAGCAAAACTAAAGCTTTAAGTAAGAAGACAAAAGAAGAGGAGTCTTGCATAAAAAAAAGATATATATATATATATATATATATATATAATACAACATAAAAGTAGAAATAAAACGAATGAAAACGAGTACAACAACAAATACAATAAAATAAAATATGGCACAAAATCGCACTTGTCTGCTTACATGAATATGAACATGTACATAATTCAAACGATGTTAAACTATACATATAGGTATGCATGCATGCATGCATGCATACATGCATGTAATAGTAAACGAAGGTTGCTGCTATGGACATATAAACATACCTATAGCGTACATATAAATTGTACGATATAAAACTAACATACGCCACGTACATAAAAGTGATAAGTTGTAGTAAAAATTTATGATTTTTATATATAATGTTCAACGATGTATATGTATATGCATATGTACTTACTTATATTTACTTTGCTATGTACATAACTACAAACTATTCTCTATTATAAATAAGTGATAAGACAATAGTGTTGTAGGCAATATATAGTGCGCACACATAAACATATATATATATATATATATATATATATATACATAAATATTATATACAATATTAATAAGTATATCACAGAAGATTTCGAATTAAAGTTAAAATTATAATAATAAGAGAAAAAATGAGTAATAATTTCTGAACACTTGCTACAAATCATCACTTTTTTTTTTTTTTTTTTTTTAAAGAAAACATTTTCTTTTCATTTTTATTTTGAATAAAAATGTAATAAGTTTTAAATGTTTTTATTAATTTATTTTTTTTCATATTTTTATTATTATTGTATATTGTTCGGAAAAGTGATTTCGTTTTATTGCAACAGAGGGATTATTAATTCTGTCTTTTCGCAGCCAACTTCACGCTTAACACGCATTGTCATTTTTGCATTTATGGAAAAAGAGGAGTTTTGTTTAACTTTGGGCAATAGCATGGTTTGATCACCTATTATTTAATGGAAAGCCGAAAGTAGTATTTTCTTATTGAACAATGCAAAAAAATTCTCTTGCAGGAATAAAAAAATTTGTTGAACGAAGAGATATAGATATAGAGAAAAAAATGCAAATGCCGAAATAGTTTTGCAAAATTTCCTATGTTCAAGTTGATGACATCAAAATAAAGGCATTAATCAATTCAGGCTTTCGAATAGCAACTGAATGAAATCGACTTTGATCGTTCGTTCATCTTTGTAAGAAAATATTATTTAATGAAGAAAAAAAAAAAAAAACAAAATCACCTTCCGAACAATCCAATACTTATAAGTAAGTACGAAGCTTATCATTTCTTCTTCTTCTCTTTCTTTCTCTCTTTCTCTCTCTGTAAATCTCTCTTTGCTTGATTTTATCTTTATGATTAGTAGAAAGAGAGAAAGTGAAATTAATCATGCGTAGGCTTGAATTGAATATCGTAACAACAAATATAGAATAATTTTCACTTATCAGCAAAACAAAATTGTACTAAAAACTAAATTTCTATGCACACCCATCTATCTGCCGTTATGCAGTTGGCAGTTGGAGTTTTCACGATTTTTGTATGTAAATGAAAATTATTTGCTCATCGCTCTTTTTAATAGCACAGTAGCGATAAATTTTATTTATTTAGAAGTCAGAAGTATTCACGAAGGATGAACGAGGGATATATTCAATCTATGAAAACGTTTGCAGCGCGCAATAGACAGCTTCATTAAGTTCACATTCTTGATCAGCATCAATTTTTGAATCGATTTAAGTATGCGCCGTTTGTCCGTCTGTCCGTCGGTCCGTTTATGTACTGTCTATTGTAAACATTCTCTGGGTCGCGAAAAATTTTGTTTTTCAAAAGGAATGAAAAATTGTTAAAATTGAATAAATTTCCAAAAGTTTAAACGTAAAATCTATGGTTGATACTTTAGTATTCCTACAAAATGGGAAATCGCCTATTCCCGTATTATAATATATCAAAATTTCAGTTTTTTTTTTTTTTTTTTTTTTTCCTGCAATACATTTATAACGCACAGTAACAAGCTTTAAAAGATCGCCTAATGTAATTAAATTCTTGATCAATTTTAAATTCGGGATGCGCCTGCTCATTTGCCCAACTGTACGGTATTTATGGTAGACTATCTATGGCGAAGAATTTGAAGATGATCTAAACTGGCCGAAAGGTACGCCTACAACATCTACCCGTCTATGCAACAAAATCTGTGAACATTTTTGTTCTCCCGGCTGTTTTACTTGTTACTCATAAAATAAAACACATACATCATATAAATAATAATAATAAAAAAAGAAAAAAAAAAAAAAAAAAAAAAAATAGAAAAAGTCAGCTGCACCCATCAAATATTATAGAGTATGTGAAAATTTAGTTCTATTCCTTTTCTTTTTCGATCGGTAATAGGTATAAAAGATTCGGCCACGAACGAATATAATTTTTTGTACATCTTTTCATTTATATACATATACGTTTACAAGTATTATGCTTCTTCTTTTTCTTACCTTTTTTGCCTTCATACCCAAGAGGTTTAGGGACAATGTGTTTTTGGTTGTTAACAAAAATATTATAGAAAAAAAACATACGAAAGATTTAAAGTTATTTTTAAATCGTATTTCGTCATCCGATCGATTTTATCATCAAACTGTTCTATAGTAAATGGACTCGGTGACTTAACTTGCATTCGCGTCATACAACATTCTTGGTATCAGTTTGTAGCGAATCTATTAAATTTAATAGATCGGGCCCTTGTAAGACTGCTCTCTAGATGCGTAGAGAACGAAATACTGATGCGCTAATGAAAGGGGAAAAATTAATGGCATAAATTAAGTTTAAAGTATTAAAGTGCCGTAGGGCGGCAGATCAAGCTCCGTAGCTATAGTGAGTGCATTTGCATTTGTTCGCTAAAGTCCATAATACTTACTTATAAAGCGGAAGAAAAAATGAAGAAAAAATATAGCGCAAGTGGGGTAATTTTTATCATTTTTATATGTGAACACCG